AATTCAGCCTTAGTTCCTCCTCTTCACTACGTTGCCAATTTAATGCTAAGTCATGGGGTGCTTGGGTTTTTCCAGCTTCTCAAATGACACCTTGTAGACAATTGTGCGACTTAGCATTGCTGACCTTGTGCGTGGCAGAACTTGGCAACACGGACGACGTGCCTGTAACAGTCATGCTACCCTGAGTCTCTACAATTTCGGACACTAAGGAAGATATCTTCTTCTGCAACTTCAACGCTCGATAACCAGTGGATTTATTCAAACGCAGACACATTCAACCTCTAAAGCTGTTAAATACCATACAAGCGTGCCGTGGGCTTATTGTGAATGCACAGAGGGGTTAAGAGGCCATTAACACGAACGTTATGAACGGAGTGCATGGCCACCCTATCGGCTTCGTGCATAAATCAAACAGTAGCATGCGACGACGATGCAACGGTGGAATAATTTATGGAATGACTGGTCACCATGCGCATCCGGTGAAAGTTTAGTTGATTTGCGTGGTGTGGAAAATGAGTAAAATGTCGGAAATAGCATCTAGATTTGGGCTGGTTGGGACGATTGTGCTTTGAATCCACTCAGCGTGAGTGAGTTCAAGAAAGAATCAACTTATTTCATTGTTGGTTTCTCTATTAATAAGAGCACCTTTGACTTATTTGTTAGACGCAGAGTAGGTAAATATGTGGGTAATTTTATCTGTATGCTATTCTAATAAATGACATTAAGAAGAATCTCTTGCGCACAAATGTTACTAGTACAAAAGTGCAGCACGGTCGTCAAGAGATTGTGGTGCCATCAATCAAGCCTAATTCGTATGCGATGAGTAGATAGTAATGTGCTTTGGTGGTTCCATAACTAAACCATTCACAGTATAGAAAAGGGCGAAAACAACCCTCTTTTCGCTAAAACACAGGCGCGAAACTTCATTTGCATTGAAGCAGTTCTCGACAGGCTAGTTGTGCCATTAAGTGTACAATCCAAGCACAAAGTTCGACTTATCTGAAGCATCAGTAAATGTGTTGAAATCAGTAACAGTTGTATTTCTATAATGATTAGATGTTTGTTTTACTGTAAGCACCTTCGCCTACAGTTTCCTCTGACTCCGCTAACTGTACTGCCTCTCGGGAGCATTAGCCTCGGCCTCAGATAGAAACTAGCCCCTTCAAGTAACACTTCAGGGGAGATTTGATTTCTCATATGCGTGTATAAGAACAGTGACCAAGGCAAGAGTTGGATTATCTTGACATACTGGATGCTACATTTCTACCTACTATTTGCGTGAGGAATTCACTCGTCTTGGGGGGAGGTTTTGGCCCGTAATCTACCTCCTGGATCCATGCAAGCACCCCACGCAGTCTAACTTCATTTGTGCTCATAATGCATCATGCTTTAAGCCCTTGGTGAAGAAGAAGACTCGACAGTAAATGTCTGTCTGGATATTGGTAGCAATCGCTAAGTTGTGATTGTTATAAACAGTTGGGCACTACGAAATGTGGTTGTAAATAAAGTAAGTTCACATATTCAGTCGAACTGACAATTGCTCCTAATGAATTGCAGCGTGCTGAGTTGCAACAAGGCAGTGGAACATGGGGAAGATACTACTTATTGGTGTTCAGAGGGACTGGGAGGCCACTAGCATGATCCGAATGCCACACCACTAAGACTGAAGTGCCAGCGTAGTTGAGCACATAGTTAAACAAACTATCTTATCACCACGGCATCTCATTTGTACTGATGACTTAAGCATCGTCCCAGTACATAGGCTTGAATAAGATCAAGATATCTGCATCACCTTCATCGGATTTAACCAGGTGAGTGCCCGATGCCTGATAAGCTGCTACTCACTATGATCTTCACTATCAGGCAATGCATGAAGTGTCCAACCACAGTGAAGCTGGCAAACAGCTTACGTTGTGTGTGTCGCATCTTTCGTTGATTTCGGTACCTGACGTGTTCCCCACCACCTTTGACACTGTGAGGGCACACCACCCGCAGGTGCATCGTTAGCATCAGTAACCAGTGCAACTGGTGCTGTGCCTGATTTGAAGTTTGACGGTGTTAAAATCTGCACGGAGCAGAGCAGTCGCTCCACCTCCTTGAACACTTCACCATGCTCTTCCTCCCTCTTGAAATGCTCTTCGTCGACTTTCCCACCTGCAGTAACCTGCCAAACCTCGCCACCTACGAAATTCCGTCTGGTTAAATGTCGCTTGTCAGGTCAACACTTTCTTCGTAATGACCTCGGTCACCGCTGTTCTGTTAGACGAGACAGTATATTCTAAGAAGTTGACATGGTGCTGCATAAATGAGCACTTCTCTGAGTTTGGAGCTAACGCTGCGTCTCGCACATGGTCAAGCACTAGTCTCAGATCGGCATTATGCTCCCGAATGTCCCTACCGGAGGTGAGAATGTGCACTAAATATGTGGTGCAATGTTTGTGGAATAGCCGATTAACACGGTTCGCACTAGGCGTTGGAAGGTAACCGCTGCGTTACAACGCCCAAAGCACATTGTCTGGGAGTCATGAAGTCTGTTTAGAAATACGAGAGCCACCTACGCCCACCAGTATCCTGATGTTAAATCTGGGGCAGAGAACTAGTTTGACTCGAGTCTAACGAACTGTTGATGCTGAGTAGTGGGGAAACATGTGTCTTGGACACTGTGTTCTACTTCCTATAGTCAGAGCACAAACCGTTGACTTCTGTCGTTCTCCTTCACTAGAGCAATTGGAAGAGGCGCATGCTGACTGACGGCTTTGTGACATCCTCTCTGACCAACATTTCGAGCAGAGGGCTTAGTGCTTTGAGCAGAGGTGTTGGCTGGTAGATGGGTCTGGTTTTGCCAATGGCTGTTGTATATATCACGATAGTTGTGTGAAGCAGTTTAATAGCTGCCGTGAGAACAAATTTGCGCACATAACTAACAGCTTGCAAAGTTATTTCCACTCGTCGGTGACATGAGTAGGGTGTGTGCGTAGGTCGTCCAGGTTGTGCGTGGACATAGCTGTGACCTCGAAAAGGACCTCGCAAATACCATAGACGTCTTCGAAAGTTAGTGAAAGGACCGCATTGTGCTTCGTGTCCTAATGAGTAAAGAAGGTGCCCGTAGTAAAACTAAGGATGTGTTTAGCGTTGCGAAGAATCTCAACACCAATTATCACGTCTGGTGCCAGAGTTTTAGGACCTAAAACATGGTTGCAAAAAAAAACAAAGTCTGGTTCTGCCTAAAGCAAAGATCTAAACAAAGTCAGTTAAAGTTGGGTTCATGATTATTATCAGGTAAAATGTCACTGATGAATAGGGCAAATTAACAGAGATGCATATCAGTCCCCAAAGCCTTTTAATACAAACATTTTTCAAAATTTGATTATCACAGCATCAAATTTTAATGCACGATAAAATATAAAATGTACGAAAAATTGGGATATTTTTGGGTCAAACTAAGTGCTAGACAAGTGATAATGATGCTACTTTGTTTAGCTACGTCGATAACATGAACTTCAGCGTTGTTCCCTAAACGAAAGCATTGTCTATTTCGAGGTCGGCGATCCGTGGGATGAAGACGCTACTTTTTCGAGGTATATTATGTGTTTTCGGTGGTTCCCTCTACCACCTTGCCCTCGGTTATTTTTATACAGCTGGTATGCATCCATTCTCAGATTACTCGTTTCAGGCAATATGAACCCATATATCGCGCAATTCATGAATATTGAGAACAGCAAAGCATCCTGGATTCCATCAACAATGATTGTTCTTCAGGCCGCTATCATGCCACTTGGGGCTTACCTTACCACTAAAATAAGTTACAGATGGGTTCTTCTGACCGGTCTCATATTCAGTTCGTAAGAATCAAATTTTGGCATCCAAATTGTCATAATTGCTATGATCTTTCATCTTTCTGCTGAATTTACTATTTTTATCACATTGCTAAAGTGAGATCTGAATCCTTGTGTACCATTTTGCTTGGCCTACACTTGCGTTGGAAATGATTTTAAAGAGGAACCAAATCTGTAGACTTCCCATATTTTTCATTTAGTGGTGGAATTCTACTGTCTCGACTAAGCGTTTACAGCGGTTTTGGTCTGTATATTTTGACTACTGCATATTATTCGGGATTGGCCTGGGTTTGCCTTATTCAGTTATCTTTTCCATTGCTTCTTCGGTGAGTCTAGCGAATAATCTTCCTTCGATAGCATGATTTGCACTTCAGTAATGCCTGATTATTTGCCTTTCACTTCGCCATTTAGTGGTTTCCTCACAAACGTGCCACAGTTGTTGGGATAATTTCTGCAGGGTTTGGTCTTGGTGCTTTGGTCTTCATACCCATTCAAACTCGTATTATTAATCCGGATAATCTTCATACAGTTAACGGGTGAGTGTCCCTCCCCAAAGGAGTTGCTCCTTTTGCTTTCCTGAATGGTCCTGCTAGGTTTCAATAAAATCTAGTTTGTCTCATGCATCAAAAGGCCCCAGACTAAATCAATGCTTAGGATTTTGGGACGATTTTAACTGAAAATTAGGCATTTTGCGATTCAATTTTAGCACATTTCCCCGCGAGGTCATAGAACGAGTTCCAAAAGCCTTTTTAGTTCTTGGTGGTATTGTTCTTGGACTTGAGGTGGTTGCAACGATTCTGCTTCAACAAAAGCCTGAGGTAGATTTGGTTATAATATTTGTTTTCTTTTTGTTGACAAGGCTTGCTCAGAAAGTGGAATGAAACTGTGATTTCTTATTTGCTATATACTATTAATGAAACTTACACCTACCTAGGTTCTGATTTTTCTTCTAGGTTATTTGAGTGTACTAAATGGCTTCTGTTTTACTAATTTAGGCAAAATCAGACGACTTGTCTACTGAATCGTAAGCCGTCTTTTATACTTGAGTGATTT